AATGTTTTGTTTTTGCCTGCCAATGGCACGCTCGCGTGTTGATGATGGTTTATTTGCGTCCTCTCTTTCCCTTTCCCTTTCCGTTCCGGCTCCCACTGTTCAACTTTTCTCTACTCTGTACGTGAATTTAATGCCGCTTTACTTTCTGCCCTCTCATTTGGTTTTTGTACGCTCATTGTTTTTGTTTTTGTTTCTGTTATCGTTTATTTTAATATGAAAAGTTTTTTTGTTCTGCATTTTTCGCATTCGTTGTTCGGCGCTGTGTCCTAAAATTATGTTTATTTTATGAAAATATAATGTCAATCGCTGTAGCGACGTGCTGGGGATTTTAAGTTTGCAACAAACAACTACAACAACTACCAAGCAACAACAGCAGCAATATCAACGCAATAGCAATAATAATACATACTAGCAAATCTACAACATTATATCGCAGTTAATAAATATTGATGTTCTGCGGAAGCGCCGAAGCCAAAAGGCGAAACTTTGAAAGTGATTTGTGATCTAGGCGCACTTGTAAAGCTCAAGTGATTTGAATTCAATGGAGGATTTCCGTTAAGTAATGGGAAATTATTGCTGTACTGCATAATGCAAGCAACAAAAATAAATTGTATGTAGCATGACGCATGATGCGACCTTCAAAGAATTTAATCTATTTGATTTAATTGGCTCTATTCTGAGAATTTGAGGCGCCAGGAAGACGTGCAAAGCTCAATGATTTGCGAGGTATTATTTATTGTTGACAAATTTAAACGTGGGGTTTATGGTAATAATTTTTGAAAAAATGTCCAGGGCCCCCGCAAAATGAAGGTATATAAAAGAGTGGCTTGTGGATGTCTAAAAGAAAAATTCCTTTGGGTATAAATGCGAACATCAGTGTATTGAAAAAGCGACGACAGAAGGTGGTATATGACGTGGTTAATTTGGCACGAATAAGACTAAAATGAAGATGAAGGTTAAGGTTAAGATTGAGATTAAGAGTAAGTTTAAGATTAAGAATGAGATTAAAATTAAGATTAAGGCTATGGTCAAAATTAATATTAAGATTAAGCTTGGGACAAAGATTAAGATTAAGTCGAAGATTAAAACTAGGACAAAGATTAAGATTTGATTAAGATTAAGATAATTATTAAGATTAATATAAGATTAAAGTTAAGATTGAGATTAGGAATAAGATTAAGATTAAGGCTGAGGTTAAGATGAATATTAAGATAAAAATTAAAATTAAGATTAATATAAAATTGAGAATAATATTGAGGTTTGATTAAGATTATTATTGAGATTTGATTAAGATTAATATTAAGACTAAGATAAAAATTTTTCTGAATACAAATGTTCTTAAGAATAAGATTTAGATTAAGATGACGACTAAGATTAAGATTATTATAATTACGATTGAGATTAATTGAAGTTGAGATTCAGATTCAGGTTAAAATAAGATAAGATTTTTTCTGCGTGATACATACTCGTAGTTCTCAAGTTGGACAAATTTTGATCAACTGAAATCCGTTTCTAATTAGAAAACTATTTAATTTGCAGGTCTAGTTGCTTCAAGTTTTAATAAATTTGTTAAAATTATTTTATAGTGCCCAAAACTATCTATTTTTAACCGACTTCCAAAAAAGGAGGAGGTTATCAGGAGGTTGCGCAAATAGACTTGATATCAGTACACCGAACGCTGCCTGAAAACCAATATATGGCTTTCTGAAAGGTTTTTCTGTGTGAGAAGGGACAGAAGGCTGTGGAAGTATTTTTTTGGCGAGGATTGTCTGATTGGAATTTGATGTCCCAGCTGCTAGGAGGACGATGAGTTGGAGTCATCTCAAAACTTCTTCTCAATATTGTCAAGGCTGTAGTCTAAGTACATACGATTGTTCTCTCTGGGACCGGCAACTACCGCATGGCAACTTACTCCTTGCCACACAGCGTTTTTCGCTATATCGTAGCAGCTACCACTGATGTGCTCCTATCTAAGCGTGTCTGTGTGTCGCCAAACAAATTTAGTCGAATCCTATTTATATACCTATGTTAACCCATCAACCTTTGCTACTTTTTTATTCACATAGTTTCATATGCACTCTTTTTAATCATTAAACTGTATTGATAATTACTTTAAGCTTACGATAATTTAAAGCTCTCATTGGAAGATTTAATGCTGACATGAAAAGAAAAGTACCTAAACTGACCCAATACATTCTGTTTAGTAGACAAAACACAAACTCTGCACCAATGTGTGCAGCAGGGCGTATGAGCAACACATTAAAACTAAGCACGCTAATGAGACCGCACTGCATTGTTTTTGGTAACTATGATTCATAGTTTATGATGAGTTTTGTTTGTCATAGTTTCTGCTTGTCTTGAAAAGAAAATAGAATTTGCAGTAGCTCACACTTTTTCGCTGAATAAATTACGCATTAAGCATAAATGAAAAGTGTATTAAGCACTTAATTAAAATAGTTTTTCTTTTAAATTGTTAAAAGTTTTGATTGCTTTGATAGACACAATTTTTTTCACAAAAAGTTGAAAAGTTATTCATATGACAACGGCATTGCGTTATACATACATACATACATACATCAACTGTTAGAATAATATGTCTGCATGGTTTACACTTTGTTTCATTTTATTGCAAAAATCTCCGCTTAATAGCATGTCACAAATGAAATAAAGCTAGTCAACTTAATTAGTATTGTAAAATTAATTACGCTGTCACTAAGCTTGATCCAAGCGAGAGTATCACACAAGGCAAAAGTGTTCTGACCACAACGGCGAAACTGTATAAATGCATACATATGTTTTTTATGTTCTGAAGTATGTGCCGAGTACACAAACATATGCACATACATAAGTGCTGTATATTCACTTCCTGCTGCACCAACACTCCGCTCTTGCTCACTCACTGACGGTGAAGGACTCGATAACAAAGTCATGCAAGTTTTGCATTCAAAGCAACTTAACGCAATTAAAAAATCATTATTAACACGCTAATCTGCTTGTTGTCTTTCCGCGCCGTCACCAATCTCCATCAACATCCTCCTCCGACCGATAAGCTCGCAATAGCATGGCGTGTCGTAATACATAACGGCAAATGTTATTTTATTAAAGGAGAAAAAAATCTGCTAATTTTTTTTCCAGCTAATTTTCTCCGTTTTTTTTTTTTTCTGTGCTCACATCAGATCACGTTCTGTTGCTGACTGGCTTTGATGGCATGCTGCCGGTATTACTTCCACTTTGCTGCTTCATTATAAAACATCAGCAAGCAGCGGAAGAGCCATTTACCGCCTATTATATATGAAGGCCTCTATAACAGCCTGTTGCTGCTCTTTTGCGCTTTAGACATTCGTCCTCGTCCCTGCTTATTCATTCAATTTGGCGTTCATTTAGCTTTAGTATGTATTAGCGCAGCCCCGCGCCTCTGCACTCGTGTGTGTACGGATGTGCCCTATGTGTGTGTTCGCTCAATTGCTTAATATGACAAGCATAATTAAATTTCCTATACTCACTGTTGGCTTTTTAATTATTTGCACATTGAACGTGTGTACTTATTTAATATTTGTAAACACTATGTATATACATGTATATATATTTGTATCTATATAGATGTGCATATATGTACATATTGAAATATGTGTCCTCCTGGGGGTGTGTACCCTAAACGAAGGCTGCCTAATGGGTTTGTGGAAAATTAAATTATTACGATATGCTGCAAGTATTTTATAATAAATTTGTGCATGCATTTGTGAAAATATATGATGACCTTAATTAGTTATACGGCTTTTTCATGCATTTCATAATTGAATTATGAAGAAAGCTCTTTAGGCTTGTTATACAATGGAAGTACTATGAAGTAGCTTAAATTAAAAAAAAAAAATCTAAAGCATGAAATATAATTTCAAATCCATATGTTTCTTGATTAGCATTTCTCTTATAAGCCGGCTTTTGATTAAAGAAAATAACTTGATTAACTGAAAGGCTCACCAGGATTATTATTTTGTGGGTTTGAAAACTATAGTTGACTATTCTTTTAGAAAGAATATGATGTGTCCATGCAGCCTAAAATCTTTCCTAAGGATGTCGAACCAATCATTCTCTCTTTACTTCTGTTTAAAGCCCTGGATAAGTTAATTGATATGAATGTTCGATCGGAGCTCAACATGTACATATGTATACAAGCGTGGGCTGGACATCACATAATCCTTAAGTCTATAGAGGAAGCCTTCGTAAATAAACTGGGACCTAACTGTAAGTGCCTTTGTCAATATCGAGGAGGCTTTTATTTAGGCCTTTCTGGTGGAAATCGTTTTGGAATCTAAGCGTGTAGCTGAAACCAATATCGTTAAGTTGATACGTATAAACTGCATATTTTTCCCCGAAACAGTCGTGGCGGAGTTGGGATTAATTTCTGAACGCCTTTTATGACTAAATCCGAGTATGACTGAACCTAGTGGCTGAGTGGATTACGAACAGTAGACTTACTGTAAAAGCTAGTAAGACAGAATGTGTCTTACTCACTGGGAAGTACCCTATGCATTCTTCACTCCCTTGAATCAGTGAGGTAATCAGGACCATTCCCGCCCTTGCGCTGAAAGCTATTCTAAACAAGGTTGCTGTAGTAAGGTGCGCGGTCACACTTAGTGGACACTGGGTGCCTATGTTAATAGAGCTCTGCATCATCCTTAGTTAGGGTGTCCAAATCGCAGTAGTGGTTCAGGAATTGAATAGACTGATATGCTTTGAATATTTATATTTAGGAATTCAGGAAAAGTTAGCATACGCTCGCCTACCCCGCCCCCTCCCTTCCTTTCGCAATTATGAACTGGTGGAATTATAACCGTTTAGAAAAAAGAATAATAATAACGTGACACCAGTTTACTTCTGAAACTGCTTTTTAATGTTCAAGTAATGGGAATTATTGCGTATGGTGTTATTGCATGCATCCCACCATGTAGGAATTATATCAGGTGAAGTAGTTAGAGCGAGAAGAAAGATTTTGACACTGCCTCATATGAAAAATTTTTCTACAAGAATTGACTAAAAGGCAGCCGAATATCAGAAAATAAAGCGAGAAATCTGTTTTAATACTTCACCTCTTTATTTCGCCATGGTTGTATGCAAGGTACATTGAACAGGTAGTATCAGTAGAGCAGCTGATTAGATTTATTTTCAAATTATTTGGTCTCGAAAATGTCAAATATTTTTAATTTTTTCTCACAAAAATTCTGAATTGTTAAAATCCATTTGCATGTGAAACCTTTTCCCATACAAAACAAGCGATTGAATAGCAGCTTTTGGAACGTTCGCCCAACTCGGCAGCACGACCGCTGATTACTGGGCCTTGCAAAGGATGGATCAATGCTTCGAGAAGCAAACAAATTTACTAGGAAAGAAAGTTGCATCAATTTTTATTTTTTCCAATTTAAATTTTTTATTTTTTATAATTTTTTGTATTTCACATGGCACGCTTTGATTTAGAAGAAAAAATTCAGAACAGTTTTTGACACTTTCGATACCAGAAGCAACAACAAAATACACGCAAATGTTGTTTTTGCTCTACTGATACTACCTGTTTAATGTGCCTTGGTTCCATGCAAACGTTTTAAGGTGTTCCAGCAATATTTTCACTATATTAAAAAGCATGCAGCCAAATTCATACAAACGCGCTATGTCCAATTTGGCGAGCAGTTATTAAAGACGACGCTTTGCGTATATTTTGTTAGACTTTTTATAAGTAAAAACATTTGTTTAATTGTATTTTTGGAATAAACAAAGTTTTTTTCCTTCTGTCAGAAAACTGTTTTTGTTATAAATAAATAGTATAAATAAGCAAACCTTTGTTGGAAATAAAGTAAAACTCAGAATTTGGTATTATTTCCCATTTAAAAGTGAAATAAAGGAAATTTTGCGTTATTGCCGTTTGTGTTATTTCACCCCCGGGGTTTTTGTGGTCGCTGATTACGAATCTCAAGTTAGATTTAAAAAATTTAAAATGGCGGTTCCAATATGGCGGACAATATTGTGTAAAGTAATTGGATTGGCTTGAAAGTAGTTACTCTATGAATTTTGGGCTCACTGTTCACGAATTCGAAGTTAGATTTAAAAAACTCGCAGCCTACAAAAAATGAAGTTTCCGAAGCCCACCAGGAGGAAGCTACACTACGAATGTAGACTTAATTTTTTATATTTTTTTTTAGTTTTTTATCTTTTTGTTTTTATTTTTATAGTTTGTCTATCAATTACGAATGTAGACTTTTATTTTTTTATATTTCGGATTTTTTATTTTTTTTAAATATATTTTTTTTTGCGAATTACGAACTTATACTTAGTTTCTTTTTATTATTTTTTGTAGTCTTATTTACTTTTTATTTTGTTTTTTATTTATATATATTTTTTACCAATTACCAATTCAGGCATATTTTTTATTTCTTTTTGTATTTTCCATTTCTTTGTTTTTTATATTGTTTATTTTTTTACCAATTACGAATTTCGACTTTGTTTTGTATTTTTGTTGTATGTTATTTGTTTTTGGTTTTATTTATTTTAATTTTTTAAATTCATTAAATAAGGTGGTTAAATGCTTCTCGCAGAAAAAACACAATTTTTAATTTCAGTTTTTAAATAAAAAATAAAGTTAAAGTGTGGATGTATCGTCAGTTATGCTCATCATCTCGGAACTTATCTCAGCAACTGAGAAATCTAAAAATTTATAATCAATTATCTAATGATAGTGATAAACACATATAAAGGATTGAACCAGGATTGAAGAAGATGAATCAAATAAGAGGATTTCAAAATATGGAAAATTGAGCAAATTCAACAGCAACAATAAAGATGTCGAATTCTATTAAGCAAAGGCTATTTTGAATTATGTTTTGTCTATTTTCGTATTTTGCTGCATCTTGTTAACAAGAAACAATAGACAAAAGGAAAATGGTATTTATTATTTTCTGGAAAAAAAGTGAATTTTACTATACACCGGACATGTAAATTTCAAATACAACTATTTTAATCAAAATGAAAATGTGACCATAGCTGTGCGATAATAGCTGTGTTTTTTTTACACGCATATACATACATCTACGCTTAATGTGTAAAAAAACGATCATCCAAAATTTCCATTTCAAAACAATTGATTTTGATTTTATCGACAACTATTCATAAGGGTAAAAAAATAAAGACGATTCATTCGCTGGGTGATTCCCAATAAATATTAAATGTTACTCATACGCCATGTAGTCACGCCCCTCAACCCATAAGTTTCCATACATATTTATCATCGTAAATGGGATTTCGATCAGAGAATCTCGCATGACTGCTAAATGCGTGAAGGGCATTTGCAATGCGCTCCACTGCTATTCATGAGCACTTGCTTGCATGCCAGAAACAGCTGCTATCAATTTCATGCAGATTGCATATAGACTCAGAATGCCTTATTGAACCCATTCAAGCATTCATATACATACTTAGAGCTGTTTTAGGCCAGCATAAATCAGCCAATGCAAGGAGGTGTATGCTCGGGTAGTTGAAATGTACACAGTGTAAATATACGGGCCGTGTGCTTGGATAAAGGACCGTAAATAGGGAAATTTGTTGCACTAAGCCTATTGGTACATGTGATCACATTTTCCGAATAAACATTGCATATGGACTTACTTGTAGGCATTGGTGAACTAGCTTTTATTGTACCCTGCTAGTAACCACTACTATTCCGCCACACTTTCAACTAGTCGCGTTATCTTGCTTTAAGTTTAGTATTGACTGCTGTTTTGTGGACATACAGTTGTTTGTCATGCACATACATGTACATATGTAAGCACTTGTATCACTGCTGCGCAACTGAGTTCCACTCCATACATTGAGTACATTTTGATGTGGGTGTTGCTTTAATTGTTCTTGTGTTCTTGATTCGGTTGTGTCCGCCTGCAGTTACCTGCACTGTCCTTTTGTCTCTGCTATATTCATACTATAGACTCTTGTCAGTCGAGCAATCAGTTATTTGCAGATTTTCAGAATGCATCTTGCATTGTTTATTGCCATTGTTAAGTAGGTGTATATTGCAATGTTTATGCATGTGTAGTTGTGTTTATGTCCATTAAAGTGCATAAATCTACCTACATACATATGTGTGTACGCAAGGACGAATAAATAATTGATTATGTATTCAGTGAACCTCTTCAAGCGAATGTACATATTTATATACATATATATATGTATATATATGTGTGTGTGTTTGCACACAACTGCTTTTGCTGATTACTTCGGTTTGAGTATGATTTAATTTGCTTCGGCTTATAAAAACTTATACCTTAGTGAATCAGTTACAGATATACAATCATTGTAGACTTTAACGCATTTAAAGTACTTAACCTAACTTATTAGGGAAATATGTACATACACTTTATTAGTATTTTATTTCGGCATATAGGTAAATTTGTTTCTTATCTCAGCACAAATAAGGGAATTTTGAAAAAAAATAATTTGCATTTAATTCAAACGAAACTACTATCAAAAAATACTGAAATAATTTTTTGGATTTACCCGCATATTTGGTAAATTCGACGTTACATACTCAATTTTCCCCTTTCAAGTACACACTTCACTAACAGAGTCTTATTTTGCTACTTGAATGGGCAACTTCCCAGCTAGCAAAATTGCTAGAAATCTGTAAGATATCCGTCAGTTTCGTCGGTCAGAGAAGCATGTGGAGAGGTTGGCAGGAAATCTAACCGACACGCCGTGGAAAATTAAAACCGAATTACCAACGACTCTGACAGATATCTAACAGATGTCTGACCAAGTAATCATGGAAAATGAGAATTATCAGACGCGTATGCCCGAACATAATTCGATTAGACATATCAGATAAGGAAATATATAAAATTCTCAATACATTTCGCCGTTAGCGTTAGCGTAAGACAGAAAAACGTGCCCAAAATCCCTGAAAATAAGATTTAACTATTATAGGCATGACCAAAAAGTTTAATAAAACCGTAACCAAAAGTTTTTTTTTTTAAATAATTTATTAGTCCACCTCTATAATAAAAATGGCAGGTGAACAACTTGGCACGATCAGACATGACCTAAATAATAATGCCTTTGAGTATCTAGGACAACTTTCCTGGTTACCCTGTATATATAATATCCGAAGGTCATCAGATCGGCACCGTTCGTTCGATTTCCCAAGGCGAGGTGTCAAACTAAAAAAAGAGTTTCCACCTTAAAAAAATTAAGTTTAAAATATTTAAAAACTTAAATTAAATATGACAGTATGGGTATCAAATTATATGTATTTAAAAGGGCTTTATATCTTGGTCGCTTGTATGAGGGTTGCCATCTGTTTAAAAAAGCAAACTGAACTTGAATCAAAACAATGAGGCAATTGAAATATATATCACGGTATGGGTGTCAATTGAAAGAGGCTTTAGAAAGGTTTAGTTTGAAAATAATTTGAAAAGTGTGTGTGAAATGTCGGTTTTTTTTTAAGCTATACACAAGTTATACGTACTTATTTTTCTATATTAAAAAAATAATTTTACAATCCTGTAGACCGTTTTACTCTTTGAGCGACAACAATTTCAAGAGTGTTTAGGCCCCTTAAGGGCAAAAAAAAAATTATTTTCGGTTTTCTTGCTCAACAATAAAAATTCATTGAATATGAATTACAACTTAAAAAAATATAAAAACTAAAAATATTTAAAATAAAAAAATAAATAAAATATTTATGAAAATAAAAAAAAAATAAGTAAATAAAAATAAATAAAAAATAATGCAATAAAAAAAATAAAATAAAATAAAAAAAAAAATAAAATAAAATATAATAAAATAAAATAAAATAAAATAAAATAAAATAAAATAAAATAAAATAAAATAAAATAAAATAAAATAAAATAAAATAAAATAAAATAAAATAAAAAAATTAAGTTTAGGTGGTACAAAATATATATATATTTTAAATTTTAGCTACGTACAGAATAGAGTAAAATATTTGCGGTTTAAAAAATGTACCAACTTCGAGCATCCTCTCAAACATATGTGTTTCAAATTCTAAACCACTGCTGCCGAAAGCGTTAGCTTCTTCTTATTGATTGGCGTTCTAACTGCCTAAGCGATTCAGGCGCCTAAGCGTTGTTAATCTTATAAAATCAAGTCATATTGATAATCAAGCCAATATTATCTATGTATCTACATATTAGCAACGATTATAAATAAACACTTAGCTAACGCAACTACTTAAACAGAATTTATGCTCTATAGCATATTATAAATGCGCAATTTAAATTGTCAAACATACAAGTAGGTGGTAAGTATATACATATGTCTGGAGGTGTACATATGAAATATTGCCTTATACACTACTGGCATACCAAAATGTCAGCTTTATCTGCTTTTATAATTCATTAAGCTCTAAAGGTGCGTGCTCGAAAGTTTTCATAATTAATTTCCCACCAACGAACATATTTCATACATACATACAAACATATATACATATGTAAATGCAAGCAGATATATTCACAATCTGCGAATAAATGTCTGCTGATGAGCGCATACTCGAAATACTTGTTTGTAGTGTAAAGTACATATGTTTAACATATGTACGCTACAAGTGTAGCTGTACATATGCACACATACATATATGAACAATTTATTATACGGCTCGAGCTAACCTAGCAAAAAATCGGTAATC